ACTGTACAGTATATGAGGCCACAGGTAATGCAAAGACTTACTGACAGAATAAGACTCTTTACTACCCTTTTTACTTTTCTGCTTGTATTACTATATCACATGCACATCAGCTCAAAAAGTTTGATTGCTGTGTGGTTTGCACTGATCTGGGATCAGGGTGAGGTGATGAGGGCCTGGTATGCATTAGTTCTGACTACACAGGAGCACAATGACTCATAATTCAGTGACCCTTGGAGAGGCTAGGACCGTAACAGGGCGAACTGGGTGTTTTGTTTTTGTTTTGTTTTTTGCTGGAAGGCTTTAGTTTGTTGCTTTATTCAGACATCCTTGTTTCCTGTAAAACAAAATACCTCCTCCACTCTTCAGGATGACTTGAGTTTAAATCATGGGTCGTAAGTAAACAGACCTCAGATGGCAGGTGGCTTTGAGAGCAGGGTCAACGTCAGTATGATTCTCTACCAGAATACACATCAGGGAGTTTTTGTATCTGCTCATTAATTTAATGACACCCTGTAAAGGTGTCATTAGGGTTTAATTATGTAAATTCTGACGTTAAATAATTGGAAAAGTTTAGCAAACCTTTAGAAAAATATTTTAAAAATCTAAAAAACAAAAGGTTGCATATGTGTTTTGTTAGGTTTTTTTGGATTATCATATTTGATGTACTGGGCTTTTATGGCCCATATAGTATGATATAAACGAATATGGAGCTCAAACTAAACCTCAATTTTATTCAAAGGCTCAAACCTAAGCAAAAAACATGCATACCAAAACCTGAAGGGGGATGCTTGTCGTAGAATTATATTAAAAGGTATTTTACTTAATAAAAAAAGTTTACACTGTCAATCATAGGACAGAAGGCATGCAATAAATTGTGTGCAATAGATTTACAGCAATTTTTTTAATCATGTTGATAATTTAGAGGTTTTAGAAATTTGCATATCAAATATGATACAGTAGGCTTTATAGGGTGAACGTCATAACTAACTATCTACACTAAAGACAACTACACTAAACTGAAAATAAAGATGGTTTGCTCAATTTAGAGGGGTTTTGGACGCTTGTCAGACTAGCAGACCAGCTGCTAAACCAAACGAACAAGGAGTTTGCTAGCTTGTGAAATCAGTAAGCTAACTGCAAACGGCAAACCTCCTTATGCTGGTTAAATGTATACATGTCTTAAATTAGATCATTCTCATTTAAAAAATATAGAATTAAAAAAAGAGATTTATTACAGAACTGATGCAACATCATAATTTTACAGTTTCAACTTGTTGAGTTGCAAAAGGTGAAAATGGAGAAAATGTGGGGCTATTTAACCAAAAATCAAAATCATTTTAGTCTATCCAGAGCACCAGACAGTTTACATGTGATACAGTGCAGATGCCTTAGATCTGAGGTCCCTGGTAAAATGAATACAAACAGCCACATCTCAAGCTATTATAATACATATTTGTTTTCAAAGGAAGAAACCACATATATACCCTTACATTAAATTTGATCTTCTTCACTGGTGAGAACAGCTGTCACTCCGCATGTTTCAACAATGAAACAAGGACCAAGAAATAAATGACAGATTCCTCACCATCTGGAAGCAATGTGCAATGGTACATAGGAGAACCAACAAGAATCACCCCTGAATTTGTGCACCATTAAAAGTAATGGATGTGGTGGAACGTTTTTTTTTTTTCTTCTTCCACACACATGTACATATAAGACCATATGGACACAAAGGCATCTACATTTGAATTGAATCTACTTCTTTTTCTGGCCTCTAGATTGCACGTTCATATTTCAGAGTTTAGAAATGTAAACAGAGCACTACAATTCTCAATCCGTCTCTGAAATGTATAGCAGAACATTTTCAATATAGGAACCATTTGGCAATGCCTAAAGGCTCCTGTTAGCAGACTAGACCAGAGGGGAAAGCTAAAAGAAAACTTTCACGTCTTAATCAAAAGCAGGTTGGGCAGATCTGGCGTGGTAGTTTTACTGTGCTTTACTGACATCTAGTGTCCACAGTTTCTTATAAATATGTAAATACAGGAGAGCGGTTGGGAAATTAAAGGGGAAATGCAAGAATATTATGCCATAAGACACTTTATGTACTAAATATGCTAAAATGTACAGAAAAGAAATCACATAAAGGTATTGTATCAAAAACATGACGCCGAAGTTTAAAGAAATGGTAGCATTGCTGACCGAAGCTCCTGCCAAAGCAGGCTGGAGACATGAAGGGCAGCTGTGAAAGAAATCATAATCAGAAGCACATTATTGAAAGGTAAAAAGCTTGCCAACTGACATTCAAAGTGCCATTTTTGTTTCAGCCTTCAAAGCTAGCACATTTCAACAAAATACCACAAAACTGACTATGCTGTTATTTGGGCAGAATGTTTAAGACGTAGTGTCACAGCGCCTACAGCACAACTAAGCAATTGTAATTTCTGTGGATTCAAAAATCCTGTGGAATTTTGCTCTTTTGTGAAGAATTTTGGTTAACTGTGGGATTTATTATGAGACAACTTGTGGCCACCCATATTGTGGGAAAACAAACACTGCTAATCTGTACGAAATGTAATATTTATAGCTTTTTAAGCTTTGATTGTAATTCCATATTTTGCAGTTTAAAACATTGGATCAGTGAGATTTTTCAAAAAGAAATTAACACTTATTCAGCATGAATGCATTAAATTGATCAAAACTAAACTAAAGACATTTATATTGTTACAAAATATTCCTATTTCAGTACTTTGGAACTTTATATTTATGAAAGAATCCTGAATCTTTCATGGTTCCCACAAAAATATTAAACAACTTTTTTTCAACCAATAAGAAATCTTTGATCACCATATTACAATGATTTCTGATGGACCATGTGACACTTTAGAATGGAGTAATGGCTGCTGAATTTAGCTGTCGTCATATAGTTTAGATTTTAAAATGTTTATTAAAATATATATATTTTTAAATATTTTAGTTGCAATATTGTAAAAAGAGGGAGAGAATGAAACTAATGCTGTTTTGACTATTTTTGATCAAATAAATTCTGTCCTTGGTGAGCATAAGATACTACTTTAAGACACTACCTTTGAATTGCAATGCAAGTATGAGAAATATTAAACAATTAAAACTTAAGTCTTATGTAAATTTCTTCCCAGTCTTATTGCAAATTAAATATGTGAAGTCTGAAAATAAACACAAAAGCTCATTCGTTTTTCAGTTGAGTTTATTATAATTGCTCCCGTCTTATCCCAGTCTGTGGATGTTTACAATCATTATTCAACTAGCTATACGAAAAACACTGAGAACTATTTGCTTGTCTGATTAAGCACCTTCTTACAGTTTGCACTGGTAATATAATGACACAAGTTTCTTTCTGACAATCAAGCTGCTAAATTACAAAAATTAACCAAATATAAGCATCCAATAAAAAAAGGAGTGATTCACTTGTAGGCAAGAACACTAATGTTTTGCAGATAGAGACAAAGGCATTTAACAGTGATATTTAGGACCAACACTACAAACAGCAAAATAACTCAACACTGGAAACCTGAGAGACTCACTGAGGTTGATACGCCAATGTGAAAGCTTCTCAATGCTGTACAGTCATACAATACTTCCCACTTGAGCTCTCAGATCTACGGCTACTTTCATATGAGAGCTAGATTTACAAAAACAAAATCTCGTTGAAACAGGGAACACAGCAAGATGACAGCCAACACAGCTGAAAATATCTCCAAGAAAAACATTCTATCTAACCTAGTGCATTTTCATTTGCTGATCCATCTACAGTAAACAAAATCTACTGAGACGAAATTTCAGAATTAAAACTAACACCTAGAGGAAGTCAAAAACAAAGATATAGCAATGTTCCTTATTTCTACATCAAGAAAGGAATTGCAGAGTAAATAAAAATGCTTTTATTATCAAAATCCTATATTTGTATGAGCCAAATGCAAACTGTGCCCTGAAGGTGGAGAAAAAAAAACGAAACAAATAAAGCCTTTATACCAGTAAACAAGACAGGTGCATGTAAGATGCAATAAAATGCTAATACAAAAGAAAGTGTTGATATTGAAGCCCTTGAGCACACACTGTGCCTGTCCACAAGTTAAAAAAAAAGCTAATTTTTGCAGCATACTATTTTGTTGTATAACAAAGCGACTGTAAACAGAGTTTGTTACAGAGGGTGTCCATAGCCAATGCAGAGCTCAAAGGCCCTTCTTATAATCATCTTCCCTTACCACTAAAAAGATGTAACAAACAAAGTTGGGTTATTGCTCTGTTGCTACCAAAATAAATGTGAATTATGGAAGGGCAAATGCTGTAAACTTAAAAAAAAATAAAATAAAAAACTGTCAGGTGGAGTAAAACTCCTAGAATTACTTCCAAAAAACAATCAAGCAAAAAAAAATAGGTTTTGTTACACAGATCAGTTACATTTTATTTGGTCATCTGGTCTGAATTAAATGTCAGTAAATGTTGAGTCTGTTTTCTGCCTTAGGATCGCTAGTTTCCAGTTCCCCCGACAAGTGCCAAGCTGTCCGAGCGACATTCAGATGAACACACAGGCTTTGGCACAAATGTAGACGTACCAAACGCCGGCAAACAGTGTCATTCATAGAGGTAATCTTATATGACTGCTGCCTGATTTGCTGCAGTTTAAGGCCCGTCGGCATGAATAAAAAGGTTTCTGCAATAAGTAGAGCATTAAAAAAACTATTCCCATTTTTAATTATGAATGATAAAAGTGCTTCTCTATAATGAAAAAAGAAAGGATTTGGGGAAATAATAAAGAACAAGCATGTAGGAACCCCATTGTGATGGAAATATTCTGATTAGACAACACCTCATGAGACAGGTCAAAAGGTCCAGCATCTTTACAGTTCAACAGAACCAGGGTGGTTTGTGAAGGCTGTGGCTTTGGTGACTTTTAGAACGAAAATGTAATATTTGTGGTATGGAGGCCCTCACTCAACATGCCCATCAGCTTCTGTTCATTATGAACTCATGGGCTTGACGGCAATGGGACACTCTTCCCTCATGGCAGACAATATGGAGACCTCAAAGAGCTCCCAGTAGTGAAAAAGAAATCACAAAAAACAAAAAACAAGTTAAGAGTCTTTCAAAATGACATGGTAAAATACTAGAAGTACTTTTTAAAGTCAGCATAAAATGAAAAGTCACCCCATCTTTCTAATTGCATGTTATAGATCTTATCGTGCATGATTAATCCATGTATTGGCTTTATTTAACCTTTTATTTAACTTTTAATCAGAATGCCATAACTCGACCTTCCTGTGAAACACCAGACTTCTCTCTGATGATGTATGCCGGACTCCTCCAATCACTCAGTCCGCTTAAAAACAGCCCCTCCACAATCGACTGCAACCTCGCATTCATTTTTCAGCGCACAGAACCTATTCATCGGTTATCGATTGGAACCAGGTTCTCATCCAACATTTTTTTTCTTTGTAGAATCTGTAACACTTGGATATACATCCCGAAGTTGGCGAAAGATCGATTAAATTCAAATTCAAATGTAAGTCAAATTCAAATGTAATATAAAGCTGCATGTACATCACTAATAGTTATGTCAATGGATAAGCAATGCAAGAATCATAATAACGTAAATGCATATTATATGGCATATTATATGCAGCTATAAGTTTGATTGCATCATATAATAATTGCTGTTAATAGTGTTAATCGTCTGTTTGATTACGTCTTTAATTGATTTTTCCGTACATTTCTGCCATATGTACATTAACTGACAGTCACCACTGATAAGCTACTACTAAATATTGTAGAAACTTAATTTTCTAAATTTTGCTTTGCAACGATTTGTATCGTGAAAAGCTCTATACAACTAAACTTGAATTGAATTGAATAATAGATTCATGTTTTTTTAGGGATGGGAAGATTCACCGATTCGCACCAGTGCATTGGCATAAAAGTTAACGATGCGATGGATCGATTTAAAAAGTGTGCATCGACTACAAGTTGGCATTTGTATCACGATGCATTGTTTCTAACATGTTTGCATCGGTAAAAACCGATTTATTTATATATAATAACTAGTGGATGCGCTATAATTTCATTATTTAGAAAGTGGCCAAAAATCTGTGACCAATATTTTATATGTAGATTGATTTCTCCTAACTTTTATAAAGAATATCTCTTTGGATTTGAGACTTTAGTCTTCTTTAGTCTTCTTTATGCACCAAGAGTTTTAACACTCCAAAGAGAAAGGAAAAATTGAAATCGCATCATATGACCCCTTTAATGTCGATCATGGATCAAATCCATCCACCATGGCAAACAGCGAATACATTTTGTGGCCAAAAATCTGTGACCAATATTTTATATGTAGATTGATTTCTCCTCTCTAAACTGTTTCTCAAGCGCATTCTAGCTCATCACCGCCGCTGCGTGAATCTGACGAATCACAACACTACGGAGACCCGAGGCCTGTTTCATAAAAGACGCTAAGAAAAGAGGGGATTAAAGTCCAAAACCGTACTTGAAATAACCTAACAAATCAATCGGGGCTAAAGCGGTTCCATAAACAACAATTTAAGTTCACGCAATCTCACTAATTTGTGCACACTTATTCAAGCAGCCCTTAAAGGGGTCATATGCTGCTGCTAAAAATAACATTATTTTGTGTATTTGGTGTAATGAAACGTGTTTATGCGGTTTAAGGTTCAAAAAACACATTATTTTCCACATACTGTAC